ATAGTCGACGCAATGCATTAACTCGATTCCAAGCAAATCCGACGGCACATTGGGGTCCTGGTACACGAGCGACGATAATGTGAGTTTAATAAAAAATCTTTTTAAATGAAAACTAATGTACTAATTATACGCTATTTTCACAGGATTGGTCAAGATAAAGTTGCCAAAAGTCATAGAAATCAGAACAAGAAACAAAAGCAAAAACCTGCGGAAAAAAGTGATGATGACCAAAGTAAATGTAAGCAACCAAAATTGGCAACATGAGACTACGTAATAAATTAAATATATTTGATTTTTAACATGGCAAAATTTTATTGGAAAAGCTTTGGAACTATTAAGTATGTATCTTAATAAAAAAAAAATATTTTTCCAAACTGCATGGAATAAGGCAATCTCCGTCAATATCGGAAGAAATTTCCGTCCCCGGTTTGTCGTGAAAACCCGTTGTTTACTAATTGATTGTGTACACCACTATTGATCAATTTAACGCTATGTGGTGAAATTTTCTCTTTAATTCCACCAATTTTTAGTGGGTGATCTTGATTATCACCGGCGGGTAACTGTACCGTCTTCACATTTTTAAGTACTCGAAATGAACTCAATTCCACTATGCCATCTGATGTATCATCAGTTCTTTCACAAGTACAAGTTTCTCTTTGCAATAGTGTATCTACTCGCTCTGGAAATATTTCACTGGAATGATCATACCGTGATTGTAGCTGGAAATCCAAAGAGTCGCTGGGTATCTCAGGTGTGGCAAGGAAACGTTTACTTTTGCGTACGGAATTCAATGTCTGATGGTAGAAAAGCCGTTCGTATGGTTTCAAATTAGTAAACCACAATGCACCAGCTGGCGCTTGAGGTGGTTGGGGCATTGGGCAAAGGTAAATACCCTCAGTACTCAAGTCAGGTTCATACCAGACATTTCGAACGCGTATTTTTACTTTTGCCATTTTGTTACTCTTACAATTCATTTCTTAAGCTTTTCGAATTTTTTTTAGGAAAAAAATAGTTTACCGAATATACAAACGCAAACGTTTTTATTTTGAATGATGCAAATGGCGTATAACGCCCAGCCTATTTAAAATTTAATCGAAGAAAGCATGGCAACAGTACCATGGAAATAGAAATAAATAGTACAGCAAATGTTACTAACATACAAAAACAAGCATTTGAAAATAATAGTTTCACAAACAACCGTGATCCTGTGATCCAAGCAACTGCAACCTTTCGTTTAGTAAGAAAAAACTTCGATGTTTATATCATGCTTTGCATGTTAATTTATTAAAATCTATAAAATATCTAGATGTTGGTCTGTAACAAAATCTAATTAGTATAGACGATCGCAATTACCTACCTGCAGTATCATCGCCAGATTCTTTTCCAAATGTACTTAGCATCACATTCCGCGAAATCCATGTCGGACATCAGCAAATTGCCAAACATTAACTGGTTTACCTGTGCTGCAAACTTGGAGAAACAAAATCTTTCGTAGGAACAGCAACAATTCAGAACTCGGAACGCCGGACCACCAACTAACTACCACCCAAATGAAGTCGAATATCGTACGAAGAAGCGTACTGAAGCGAATAGCAGCAACAAACAGCCACCAGTTACAGGTAGTTGCAACAGTAATTTTCGCTACAGCATTACCTGCCAAACTTCCGCTCTACATATACTGCACTGCCTTCAAACATATGCACCATATTTGAGATTTCGCTGAACTTGGGTCTAAATCGCAGATATTTAATATATTCTATCCGTACACCGCTCCAACTGCTGCGCGCACACGCGTACACAATCAAACCGTCAAAGTACATGACTGGTTGCGTTACACATCAAGTATGCTTAAGATGTACTTGGTCCGGACATTTTGTTTACGAAATTCGTTTAATAAAACTGAATTGACGCTGCAACTTCAACGTTAATTAACAGCAACATTTTCATTTATAGGATGCGAACACGAATAGTAAATTAATAAGAGCTTAACACTTGGATTGGCTTTCTCAGAGGGCTCGAGAAATAAAATCGAAGTGTTAGGCATAGTTAAGTGCAGCGGCTCAAGTGGTGTACAAATATTGCGCTGGAACAACAGCAAACAGCGGCTGTAGCAGCAACAAGAGTAACAGGAGTACGTTTTCCTAAAATTCGCTACGTTGCAGCCATCAATGAATTTACGAATCTCTGCCTCCTGCTCCTTGCACATTATATCTCCCCAAACATTTTTTTTATATATTTCATTATAATATCTGCCTCAATCACTTTTCGCACTTTTACAGCAGCCCTTGCCCTTACAGCAATCTTTGTTTGCCTGCATTATATAGAAGTGTAAAAAATATATTACCGCCATGTTATAAAAATGGTTTATAAAGTGTATACCACATAAAAATTACACAAAAGTTTAGCAACATAATAATGCAAACGTTGAATGATGTGTTGTGTAATTCGTATGTAGACCAAAGTAAGTTCTTTAAGTTGAAAATTAGAATCTTATGTATTATATATTAAATTGCCTATCAACATGTCCTCGTCACCTATACGGACTTTTTCAATAAAATTACTTGGAATACATTTATTATTATTTTTTTTTTACAAAACTTACAATACGTTCATGTCACTTTCAAATTTAAATATAGGAGTACAAATAATTTTGGAAACAAAATTTCTAAAACAATTCCCATCTCAACTTTTTTTTGGGTTAATTATATAAATTTACTTTTCCAATTACTGGAAAAGAAAAATAAATAAAATCATAGCTTTCCAGACCACATTTAATTTTCGCTCATGAATCTTATATAATAATGGCATTCTAAACTACCAAATGTAGTCTAAACATATTTTATATATTTTTTGGGTAATCATACGTTATTATGTATCTCTACACACCTCAAAGAGAGAATTGATAATTGAAATAATTAACATCAGCTTTTGGTGTAATATGGAAATATGGACATTATGTGATTTGCGGTAAACGAGATAACTATGAAATTAGGGAGGTTTAAAAGAAAGATATGAGGGGCACGTTTGAATTTCCTGATTATTTTATCTTCCATATTCTCTCATTCATTTTTTGTGTTTTTGTAGTGCTACAATTGAAATATTTAAAGGCTGTACCTGTTGATCTAGCAGCATTAAAGGCAGACTGCGTTTTTATATGAAGTCGCCGCTAATCAACACATGAAAGTATTTAATGCATACTGGTCACTATGTTGGGCAATTCTATAAAAACAAGAAGTTAGCATTTAAAGTTTTAACTACACAACACTAATTTACCTGATTTATTAAATCAATGATTTTGTTAGATGATTTAAGAGCGGCTGCGACTACGTGAAACACTACGTCCGGCTACACCATTGCGACTTTGGCTACGGCTTAGTGACTTTCGACCAACTGGACTTCGTGAAAATTTGCTTCGACGAGCAGGTGAACGACTACCTGCTGAACGTGATCTTGAACGTGGCGAATATGATCGTCGTCGTGGACTACGCGATCGCCTGCGTGCAGGTGAACGAGAACGGCGTCTACCGCCACCGCCACCACGTCTGTTATTTGTTCGTCGTGTTGGAGAAGTAGGACGACCATAACGAGCCATCTGTACACGTAACTCCCTACCGTCAAGCATTCGGCCATCCATAGCCTCTAATGCGTCCTCTGCATCACGTTTATCGTAAAATCTATAAAGAAAATTATTTTGAATATAACGTAGTGAAAAATATAAAAACTATATAAAATAGCGCCCAAAATATTTCATTAAAGTTTATTGTTGAATTCGTACGTAAACTGACTAGGATTATTTCGTAGACAGTAGTTGCAAAGTGAACACATTTTATATGTGCATCTCACTGAAGGATTATCTTTATTTTAAAATCATCCCAAACAAGTGATATGCAATATTTTTTTATTCAAGTCGATTAACAAAATTATTTTCTCTTCTTATTTCAGAGAAATTAAAAATTGTAAATTTCGTACGTAAGTTGACTAGGATACATTCGTAGACAACAGTTGCAAAGTGAAATTATTAATATTTGCACGTTCACAATAAGATTATTTTAATAATAAAAATAATCAGCAGAATGTACGGTGCAAGTGGTTTTTATACATGTATGTATGTAGGTATATGTATTATTTGAGGTTAGAATCATTTCACGCGGCCATGCCCCAGAAAACTCTGGTGTGTAACCCATTTTTTTTACATCTTTTGTTTTAAGGACTTACCTAACAAATGCGAAACCACGACTTTCGCGAGTATATCGATCACGGGGTATGTATATATCTCCAACCTCACCACATCGCTCGAATACACGTCTCAAATCCTCCGGTGTAGTACGATATGTCAAATTATCAACCTGAATTAAATGAAATGGCAGAGAAAATTATAAAGAAATATTTTTCATGCAAATGAGATTCTTTGCCCAATCACATCTCGTATTTTCAATTTTATTGTAAACTAACCTTAAGGGAAATCATTCCATCAATTCTAGGTGGTGGTCGTGCAGAATTATTCCCACCTCCACTCATTTTGTTCTTTGCTTTTCAATAGTTACTTGTTTATTTGAAATTAAGAAAAATTTATTCTCTTAAATTGCACTAACAGAAATTCACACATCAAAGAACTAATATAAAATGGCGTCGTGAAAATGCTACGAATACACGTCCGTTTTAATCATTTAACGAAAAATTAACGAACATTTGGAGACATCTAGCGTTATTTTCAAAAGGCTGGAGAATAATGCAGTACGATATAGCCAGCTTTACACAATTTCTCACTTTTTGTGCAACGTTGTTCGATCATATATGTACGTGAAACCAAATTATTTTAAAACAAAGAATATATGTTTTTTGCAGACTTAACTTAGCAAATTTACTTCACAAATGTGATTTTTTTCACTCTTTTACTTATTTTTGGAAAAACGTAGTTTTCTAAAATTACGTGTCACCCTATGGCGTGAAAGGCATGTTTCTTATACCACGCTGTCCGCCGAATGTTGCTACATGGGTGCAGGTAAATTTTCCTTATATGCGTGGCCATTTTAACTGATTTCGTGTTACCGCAGAGGTTTGTAATTTTTGCATACCTAAATGTGATGCGAAAAATTCTCAAGAATAGTTGGGATAACAATCGTTAAGTTGAACTTCACTTCAGTTTGTTTTAAATACTGCTTTTGAGAAGTTTGTCATAGAAAAAAGCGTAATATAGAACGGTTGGCAGAAGTGGCAAGGAAAAACGTGATTTGTTGAGGTGATTGTAGTGAACGCTAAGAAATTGTGGAACGTTGGGAAAGAGTAACCAGACCTCCGGAAAGCATACAAGTTAATAATCTTTGCAATCAAACAAAGAAAAGTAAAAACGTGTACGGTTCCAAATTCGTGTACGTGTGTGTGCTTGAAAATTTTGTGATAAACGTGGAGGAGAAGAAAAGGTGTCACCAATAAAATAAAAATAATAAACCATCTTCGCCATCGAACGAACCTAATAAACTTGCGTAGATTAACTAATCCTAAACGATTGTGAGAATAAGCAAGAAACGCATTTTAAAGCAAATATGGCACAGGAAAACACGGAGATGGCAACCAAATTTTCCACACTGAATGTGAATGCAGTTGAATTTGTTCCCAGCTATGGCTATAGTAGCGTTGCTGCAACTGCGGCAGCAGCGGCGGCAGCTGTAGTAACCACAGCCGGTACCACACCAAACGTTGTCCCTATGGAAGCATCATCTCTGCCGGCGTCTGGTAGTGCCACTCCCGCCACAACCCCAGATTCTGCGGGCTCAGGTGGATCTACAAATGCATTAAATGCCACTGCCGCGGTCGCTGCTTTACAAGCGGTACCGCCTGGAGCAGCAGGAGAAACTCCTGCTGATTCCCCAATGCAAACATCGCCTGTTACAACGCCTTTAGGGGCAGCGCCCATTGAAAACATCAACACCGCAGACAAAATTGCTGCCAACAATGGTAAAGTACTATATCGGCTCCCTAATAAAGTTATTTTAATAATATTTATATATTCCGCATTAAACATATGTTATTCATTCATTACATATATTAGTTGTAAAATATGTTTTACTATTTATTTCAAATTAACAAATTTTATTTGTCAACTTTTTAAGCCTATTTGCATGCGCCGTTTGTTATTACATGCAAAATTTAAACTTAGGTTGCACTTTTAAATAGCAGCGGCTTTAAGTTTTTGTTAGGTTTTTTCGAGTGTTGACATTTTAACCATAACCTCTTAAAAAATATTTTGTACACACTTCATGCATTTTGAATAGATGTATTAAACTTTTCGCAATAGTACTCCAAGTGCATTGCACTACAAATGACAAAATATGTATAAAAATTTCTCCATCTATTTTTAACTTTAACAATGAGTTCGTCTTTCTTTCACATTCTCGCCTTTATAATTTGTGGTTTCTCTTGCCGTTGGCTCTTTCTTCCATAAATTTGCGAAAAAATGCTCTATTTTCAACGAGCTAACTTTTAGCTTCTTGACCAAGTCAGTATGCATCTAACATACATTTAAACGATGTGATGTCTCTTAAAGTGATTTTATTTTTGAAGTGTAGTTCATAACATAGGTATAATATATTAAAAAAAAAAAA